CGGGGCTGGCAGCCTGGGTGCTCCCTGCGCCCTGCTGCAGGCAGAAAGCCCCAGAGCTCGGGGTCTGGCTCTTGCGTGGATTGAATCCATTGGGGGCACCGGGACCCTCTCCCGGGCACAGAGTGGGAACCCCCAGCCCAGAGCGGGTCGGAGCTCCCTGTGTCGTGGTTCAGGTGAGCCCAGAGACGTGCGTTCGATGCGAGGGGTTTCCCTGCTTTGGGGTTTCCCTGCTTTGGGGTTTCTGTGTCACCGCGTTCTCACCAAACCGAGCCTCAGAAAGGGCCTGAAAGGCTTCAAGAGACCCAGGAAAGAAAGTGCCGCGGGTCACAGCTGAGGGGGAGCAGGAAGGGAGCGAAGGGCAGAGCTCACCCTGACCCCAGGATCCCAGCCTGGTGCGGGCGGAAGGGACCCTGAAGCTCATCCAGCTCCACCCTGTTCCCTTCGCTTCCCATTCATTCCCATCCCTTCCAGGCTTCCAAGGGGTGTTCATGCAGAGCCGCTGCCAACCCTCTTGCACAATAGTTCCCTATTGTTTCCCCGCTCCTCTCCTGCAGTTCCCATCCTTCAGGACCTCCCATGTGTTCCTGAGCCCCATGTTCTGATATAAATACATCTGTGCACAAAGAGGAGGCTGCTGCGTGGACGGAAACAACCACCCATTAGGGAGGAACATCTCCAATAGCTGCTCCCACTGCTCTCAGCCCAGTGGCACATGGAGAACCTGCCTCCAGGAACGGGGCACTGGCAGCTGGATCCGATGCTGATGATCCCTGGAATAACACCAGTGCCAGCCCTGGACTCTACAGGAGCGAGCTGGGGATGGACAACGGGGCTGACCTGACAACAGCCAGATCCTGAGCTCCAGCAGCCCAGGGGCGCTGCCGCCTCCTCCCTTTGGGTGCCTTCCCTAGGGAAGAGCCCTGCGATGCCGGGAGGTGCCTCCTGCATGGATGGACTCTGCTCTGCAGGACCCACACTGGGGCAGCCCCGGGATGCTGCTGCTGGGCTCGCGGGTGATGCTGTTACCTGCCTGCATCCGGCAGAAACATCTTCCTGCCGTCCTATTGATCCCTGTCAGTATCCCTAATCCCCTGTTGAGGGTTCTGAGCCCGACCGGTGCTGGCCTTGAGGCTGTGCTTGCACTTTGCTTACCTTTACCTCTCAGGTGCTTCTGCCATCCCTTGATTGCCAGCGGAGGGTTTCATTGGCACCACAGTAAAACATGGGGCAGGTCCCCCCCGTCCCGTTTGGAGGGTGAAGTGGTTGTGGAGGATTCCAGAGAAGGGGAAAGGGGGGGTTATTTTCCTGTTGCTTAGAAACCAGGTTCTGTTCCGCATGGAAAAGGCTGTGATGCTTCCTGAGCAGAGCCAGACCGTGTTCCACAGGACACAGGGAGAGGCAAAGCTGTGCTGGGAGCTCATTGCCCCTGGGGGAAAAGCAGAAGGACTTCCAGTGGTGCAGGTCAGCAGGGCACGGGCTGGTCCCTGGTCCTTGCTGGTCCCTATTTCCTGCTGGGCCCTGTTTCCTGCTGGGCCCTATTTCCTGCTGGGCCCTGGTCTTTGCTGGTCCCTATTTCCTGCTGGTCCCTGGTCCTTGCTAGTCCCTATTTCCTGCTGGTCCCTGGTCCTTGCTGGTCCCTATTTCCTGCTGGTCCCTGGTCCTTGCTGGTCCCTATTTCCTGCTGGTCCCTGGTCCTTGCTGGTCCCTATTTCCTGCTGGTCCCTGGTCCTTGCTGGTCCCTATTTCCTGCTGATCCCTGGTCCTTGCTGGTCCCTGGTCCTTGCTGATCCCTGTTCCCTGCTGGTCCCTGCTTCTGCCTGTTCCCAGCTCGGATTCCAAGCTGTGAGCCCCAGGGGTTCAGCCTGGGAGCTCCGGGCAGGTTTCACCAGCAGCTGCCCTGGCAGGAGCTCATCCCGATCTCTGCATCCCTAGAGCTGATCCCACTGGGAGGGAGCTGTTTCCACGTTCTTGGATGTGAGACACAGGACACTGAGTGCCGCTGTGAGAGAGCGAGGATTTCACATTGGCCCGCTGAGGGACAGCAGCTCAGCAGGGCCTGGGGTGGGAGGGAGCGCATCCTGCCATGGCCGCGCAGCCCGGCATGACCCCCCCGCTGGGGCTGGTGCATGAACCCGTGCCGAGCGCTGCTGAGGTCCCGGTGCTCCGAGGGGAGGCTGCAGCAGAGCAGCTGCTCCGGTCCCCACTGCCCGAACAGGCAGAACCCCCCCCAGGAGACGCTCTTGGATGCAAACGAGCTTCCCGGGGCCCTGCACAGCCCCGGCGGGCCCCGAGGTGGGAAACCACTGGGAAATCTGAACCCCTTGGCAGGGAACTCTAATCCCGATTTTCACCGTAAGCTACTTACGGACATCTGGGATGTGCCTGAAAGCCTCTGGTTTCCCTGCTGCTGGCAACAGCCGCCACCGGGGCACGAGGATCCGATTTAGTAAATGATAATATTTCATGGTAATCCCTGGACAATCAAAGGATAAGATCAGGACTAAGCCATGGGACAGACGCTGGTGTGCTCCAAGCCCCTGTGTCCAGCCTGGCTTTGAGCACTGCCAGGGATGGGGCCACCACAGCTTCTCTGGGCACCCTGTGCCAGCGCCTCAGCACCCTCACAGGGCACCAGCTCCGGGATCGCACGTTCACCACGCAGTAACAATCCCATTCCTCTCACTGGGGGCATTCGGCTCCAGCCGTTCCCTGTGGCTCCAGGGAAACTCTGTCGGTCTGGAAAAGACAACGCAGACCGGGCTGTGCTCTACTCCAGTGAAGTGCTCTGATGGCCACGCTCACATCTGGCAAACACCACCTCATTCTTGTCCTGCTGCATTGCCTAGGCCGGGCTGGGCAGAGCATTGGGCAACATGGACAAGGGGGAAGCATCCCTGCCCGTGGCAGGGGTTGGAACTGGATGATCTTAATTAATCCCTTCCAACCCAAACCCTTCCATGATTCCAGGTCTCCGCTGGGCAGGAGCTGCAGGGATGGGGCAGGCGGATCTTGCCATTGTCACCTCTTAGAGAGGGGCAGAACGGCAGAGCAGGGGCAGGGCAGGGGCAGGGCAGGGGCAGGGCAGGGGCAGGGCAGGGGCAGGGCAGGTTCAGTGAGGGCTCTGCGCCCACAACCAGGAGCCTGCCCCAGGTCCGTGCTGAGCCCGTGCTCCCTCGGGAGCAGCTTGAGCCCTGCCCGTGTGACCGTGACTGAACCCCAGCCCCGGGCAGGACCGCACCAGCCCCGCGCCTCCAGGACCCGGCTCCCAGCATCACCCCGCGCCGGGGCGGACGCGCACCGAGAGCTCCAGGGAAACAGCAGTGAGAAAGGGGGAAAAGCCCGGAATCACGAGTGGGAAAACCTCCCTTAAACCCCTGAGCCTGGAACCCCTGCGTGCGGCCCCTGCTGCTCCCCACAGCGTCACCAGCAGCGCTCCAGCCCCGCGCCATGACCAGAGCTCCTGCTTCAGCTGCTGCCGGGAGCCCCGCTGTTTTCGGCCGTTCCAGGGTCAGCTCCAGAGGAGCTCCGGGCGCCCATCCCTCAGCACGGAGCCCCTGGGATGCACCATCAGCCCAACTGCCCCTCTCCCGCCCTGCGACTTCCACAGGGCTGCCAAAGCAGCAGCGTTCCCCCCTGTGCCAGGTGCTCCGAGGTTCTCCATGGGCAGAACTTTCCCATCTTCAGGAAACAGAGCAAAAAGAAGCCCGAAAGGACAGATCCCAACCACTGCAGGTGCTTCCCAGCGCAGAGCTACGACGAGGCCACACAGGAGATGGTTTAAGTCACTTTTATCAGGGTCAGACATTCCAACAGCGTTTGACACAGGAGCTTTCTTACAAACAGGTCATGCTCATGGTGAGGGACAAAACTGGATGCACAGAGAGTGGGGGAACAACCCCAGCACCCCCAGGTACAACTCCCCCCACAAGCTGCCCGGGCTGCACGCAGAGGGCTCACACACATCTAACATGAGGGGTACGTACACACAGGGGCCTGTCCTCGGGGGCTGCAGCCTTTAGAGCAAATGAAGAGGCAAGAGAAAGGGAGCGGAGGGAAAAGCCACGGAGGCTGCAGAATTCCACAGCAGGCAGTGATGCCCTGCAGCTGCCCCAGGGAGCGGGTGCTGTCCTACCCCCCTGCTCCTGCTGTGCAGGAGCTCGTGTCTGTGCCACGTGTACAAGCACGGGCTGAAAGAGGAAGTGCTCTCGGGAGCTGCTGTGCTGCTGTTGGGAGGAAATTGCTCTGGAACAGCCCCTTTGGCACTGCACTGAGGAGAAGTGCGGAAAGGCCGAGAAATAAAACCAGCCTTGATGCTGAACAAAGGAAAGAGCCAAGGGGTGGGAAGGGAAAGAGGGATTGGGGTTAAAAGCATCCCTGACACCAAACCCTGGGCACAGAGTGGGGGTTTCAAGCAGAGGAACAATCAGAACGTTTGTACAGTTTCTAACTGAGCCTGGTACTGGACCCCAGGCACCCCTGGTGATGTGAGCACACCGGGGTCCCACCTGTCCCAGCACCTAAAGAGGGGTCAATAGAACCCTCAGCACCACCAGCACCAGTGCAGCTCATGCATGTGATGGCTCTTGGGGGCTGGCGTGCAGCTGGGAGATGAAACCACACCACAGCTTTGCAATTTGCAAGGATGGAGGAGGCCACTCCTGGTGGTATCCCCTGGAGACACTGAACTCCGGTACCTCCTGGAGAACACCAGCAGTGCCCTGGCTTCACCCCAGACGGGTGCAGTGGCTCTGAGCTGCACAAGAACTCTGCCTTCAGCCACAGGACAGACACATAACCTCTGTCTGCCGCTGGCAGCTCCTACCAGGCCTGCTTGGCTGAAGGGGGGAGCATCACATGAAGCTTTAAGTGATGCACTCATGACCTAAAGGTCTAGGTCTTTGCCAGCCCAAAGTTAAAGGTAAGGGGAGATGCATCCTTCCAAGGCCGCATCTCCCCAAAGCTTCCAGCTTTGCCTAAGAGAGGAAATGCAGGAGGCCCAGTAAGAGCTGACATTTATTCAACGCTAACACCTAAAGATTTACAGACTGACGAGGAAGCCTGCTCCCCTCCGAGCCGGCAGCACATACCTGGGCCCCTCAGTACTTCTTGACGCTGTAGGGCAGCCCCAGCACAGGCTTGGCCCGCGGGAAGGGGGGGGAGTTCCAGACGGCGGAGCTCGTGCGCCGCAGGTACCGGGGTTTGCTCTTGTAGAAGATGTCCTGGAGCTGCAGGCTCGGCATCGTCCCGAACACGGCGTCCACGCTGGGCGGGTTGTAGTAGAGCTGCAGCACGGCCTGGTTCAGCTGGCTCCCTGCAGCGGGGCACAGGGGGAGCTGAAGCCCTCGCGGCCCTGCTCACCCCCCCCTCATCGAGCCCGGAGCACAGACAGGAGAAATCACAGAATCCCAACCGGGTTTGGGTTGGAAGGAGCTTAAATCACCCAGTCCCACCCCCTGCCATGGCCAGGGACACCTCACACCAGCCCATGTCGCCCAAGGCTCTGTCCAGCCTTCTTTGGGCAGCCTGTGCCAGGGCCGCACCACCATCAAATCCTGGCCCCAGTTCAAGCCAAGAGATTCACCACAGGTCCCTCGGAGAGGGAATATTGTGTATTGATTTCAAGAGACAGGGCTCTGCAGCCCTCCCTCCATGCACATACCGGTACTGTCCCCAGAGCAGGCTCAAACTGAAACAGGGGAGACCGAGATGAGCTCTGAGGCAGAAGCTCTTCCCTGGGAGGGTGCTGAGGCGCTGGCACAGGGTGCCCAGAGAAGCTGTGGCTGCCCCATCCCTGGCAGTGCTCAAGGCCAGGTTGGACACAGGGGCTTGGAGCAAGCTGCTCCAGTGGAAGGGGACCCTGCCCGTGGCAGGAGTTGGAGCAGCTTTAAGGTTTCTTCAACACAACCCAAAACCATTCCAGGGTTCTCAGTTACACTGGGGTAGGTGACATCATGGCATTGAGCATTTCAGAACCAGAACAACCCCAGTCTGGATCCTGGTCCCTGCCATCTGGCAGAACTTTGCTTTTTAAAGCCAAACCAATGTCAAAGCGGGCTCAAGGCCAGAGCAGCAGCTCACAGTCATGCGTTTCAAGCCAGCAGCCCCCTTAAGGCAGTTTTAAACAGCATTTGCTCCCCAACACTGCTGTAAGATCATCCCCACGTGGCTGAAGAGCCCCTGGCTCTGCACTCCAGCCATGCTGCTGGAGACCACTGCATTTACCCAGTGCATGCACCAAGAGGACCTGCTCCAGCTCTTACACCAGCTCTTACTGCCCACTGGAGCAAAGCTTGGAGGCTCTGGGACAGGTACCAACACGTACTTGAGGCCCAGGCAGGGATGGGCTTGCGAGGCTGGCTTTCGTCATCAGTGGAGTCATCACTGTTCACATCCATCCCATAGCTGGTCGAGGCCACCACGGGCGGCTTTGGACACTTGGGGCCCTGTGGAGTCATCTGGTAGGAGGCGCAGGCAGGCGAGTTCTGCAAGACAAGCGTGTGCCCAGCTGTCAGAAGCAGCAGCACCGCATCGCTCCCGGCGCTGCAAACACCGCAGTGTCCCCGCGCTGCCCTGGAATTGCAAGTCCTGGGCTCTGGCACTTCCAAAGCTCTCACCAAGAGCTCGCCCCAAGCCCTGCTGCAGTGAAGGGATTGCACTGCTCCTCCTGTGTGGCCAGGCTGCTCCATCAGCCCTGTGGGACGTGACCACACCGGCTACGGATGCTTCCAATATACCCAAGTTCCCTTCCATTCAATCAAGGCTTGAAGGGAGCTGTTACATCCTCAGAGCTGGAGCTGAGCCGTGGGCCCTCAATGCTCTGCAGCTTCTGAGCTTTAACACTATGACTGGTTATGACCACATGGAGAACCCGCCTGCAAAGCGGGGGACAAGCTGCTGTCGTTTTTATGGGGAGAGCATTACTGAGAAATGCAGGTGGCGAAGGTTCACCACCCATGAGACACGTCTCTGGAGTCGGGCTGAGCTTTCCTCCCCCCCAGGAGGCTCCTGATGACTTTCTGTCCATTCACATTAACTCAGATTTGCTGGGCTTGCATTTAAGGTCACAACACGGAGCTTTGCAAGGAGATAAAGACCCAGGGGGTTGGTTTCAGTGGGGAAGCCTCCGCGCTCAGCGGCGGGTTTGGCCCCGGGTCCATCAGCAGGGCCCCAGCCCAAGGCTATTCCCCAGCCTCTGCTGCCACCCCGTGGCTGGTTTCAACCTTGAACCTCAGCAGCAAACCCACTCCCATCCTCTCCCTTCCTTCTGCCTGCGCAGCTCGCTCAGGGTTTCAGGAGCAGCAAACCGCAACAGCCGCTGCCTCATCCCGACAGGGAAGCCCTGGGGACCGCTTGCCGCTGCTTCCCTTCCCTCCTTTCACTCCCCAAAAGCCACTTAAATGCTCAACACCAGCAGGAGTCAACCTCAGGTGACCAGGAAAGCAGTTTACAGAATCCCTTTGCTACCGAAAGGGGACAGGAAAAGCAGAGGGTCAAAGTGCTTGGAGCAGTGTCAGGGCTGGGCTCCTTCCCTGCTGTCATCCCACAAGGAATCTCACTGGGGAGCAGAGTTACCTGCTGCTGTGTTAGGGCTGCCTTGCCAGACTGCTGCTTCTCTGCCAGCTTCTTCTGTTCTTGCTCCTGCCTCTTCATCTCCGCCAGCCTCTGCTCTTCCTGCTGGGAAGCCAACACCACAAGTCAGCCAAGCAGCCAGGCACCAAGCAAGCCATGCTCTTAACCCGGGGGGGCATTATTTCTGATATCCAAAAGAATATCCAAGCATTTCAGTGCAAGTCTCTGCCCTGGTGATGCTCAGGAGCACGTTGAGCACGGAGCAGACAGCAAACAACCAACACAGAGGTCCGAGCTTTCCTCGGCAAGTGGCACAAACAGAGCAACACTCCCACTTCAGAGCAGGAGCTGCCTTCCTCTGACAACAGTGACCTCATGCTTTGAGGAGCTTTGCACCAATTGTGTCTTCGGGGTATCAGCACTGACAGCAGCTGCCATCTGTGCTACAGGGGAGTTTTTCAATACCTAAAGGGGCCACAGGAAACCTGGAGAGGGGCTTTGGCCAAGGGCCTGTGGGGATAGGCCAAGAGGAATGGCTTGAACCTGCCAGAGGGGAGACTGAGATGGGATCTCAGCAGCAGGGATCTCAGCCAAGGCACCAGCACTGCCCCTTCACCACCAGGCAAACCCTCCTGCTCAGTTACTGAGGGCTGGCCCCAGGGCTGCAGAAGACCTGGCAGAGGTTGCTCCTGTGCTCTGCTGAGGGTGGCACAAACACGAAGCAGAGGTGGAGCTTCTGGAGAGCCTGGCATCAGTTACTGTTTGCTACCAAGAGAGGTACAGATGCACCCAGCACACACAAGCTGAGAACCTCCCTTCGGTTCAGTGTGTGTCACCTGTCCTTTCCTCCAGCAGTGATGCCATGCAAAGAGAGCCAGCCTGCCTCCCAGAGGGACGGGGGGACATCTTTGCCCAGCTCAAATGCAGTAGGGCCACAGCACCCATCAGGGTTCTCAATAGCTGCACAGCTGAGCTGCCCCCAGCAGGAACAGCTCCTGCAGTCAGATCCACGTGGCTCTGCCCATCCACAGCGAGGGAGCACTTACTTCTTTCTTCTCCAGCTCCTTCTGGAGTCTCAGTTTAGCAGCCAGCACCTCCTTCTTCAGGCGGGCAGCCTTCTCCTGCTCCCGGAGCCTGAGGGCCAAAGCAGAGCATTACCCTCACAACCAGGCCGGGGCACGCTCTCATCCCGAGCCTGCACCAACCCCTTGGTTCCTCACAGCTTTTCAGGGCGCTCCCACCAGAGCTCCTGCATTACTGAGCCCAGAATGTCTTCTGGCAGCTCAGGACCAGGACATCGTGCTGCGAGCACAAAGTAGCTCTTCACTGCCCGAGTGTGTCTCTGTTCCTGCTGCTGTTCAAAGCCCCAGCACAGAATTCAGTGCGTGAGTGGATGTTGTCTTACTTTTCTGCCTGGATCCTCTCCTGTTCCTTCTTCCTCTCCAGCTCTCTCTCTGCAGCCAACTGCTTTTCCCTCTCCTGTTCTGCCTGTCTCTGCTCAGCAATCTTCCTGGCACGTTCCTGCTCCTCTTCCTTCCTCTTCTGCATTAGCTCTTTGTGCCGACGTTCCTCCTCCTCCTGGTAAGCCCAACAAGGCAGTTACTCAGTGTACAGGAACTGGCTCTGGCACAAAGGAGCAGGAGCAACTTATTCAACCCAGAGCCTCCAGTTCCTATTGCTGCACAGTGGGGAAACAACTTGGGGCTGAAGTCCCAAGTGCTTTCAAGGGAGGTGCTATTTCAGTGTTGGCCTCTCCCTGCCCACAGTGGACCCCAAAGGGCCTGGTGGCCACCACAGCCCCATCTCTGGGACACAGGTTTCTAGTGCAGAGATCTTCATCCTGTCAATCACAAATTAGGGTCTTTAGTGAGACTGTCCAGAACTGGAGAAGGAACCTGGGTCACCACTGACAGCTCACAGCACCCTGGCAGGAAAGGTGGGAAGCACAACACCGTGGAGGGCTTCCAGGACAGAGGCTCTGCACCTCCCTGATCTGCACTCAGCTGGCTCTTGTTAGCCCTCCTGTTGCAGGGGCTGTGGCCATTCCACCTGCACCAGGACGAGGGGCTCCAGCACAGACCTGCTGCAGGGCTCGCTGTCTCCTGGCCTCCTCCTCCTGCCTTCGCCGGGCCTCTGCCTCCTCCATCTTCCTGGCAGCTGCTTTCTTTTTGATCTTCTCCTCTGCCAGCCTTTCCTCCCGCACCTACAACACAAACACACACAGACACACGGAGCCAGCTGAGCACCCGGCCTTGGGTGAGACTGCCCTGTCCCTGGGGAGCACCACAGCAGGATGCAGAGCTCCCATCCCCTCAGGGGGCCAAAGCTTCTTCCTTTGCCACCAGGAGCCAATGGGACCTGCACTTGATTTGAAAGGGCAATACTTGGGGCAATGACCTTTTCCATGGCCACAGGAAGAGCTGGGGTATCGCATTCTACACCTCATACCACAAAAGCCATCACAACGTATTCTCAGAACCGTGAATAGGAAAAGCAGATGGAGATAATTGAAGCAGACAAAGGACTGCTCTGCTTGCATGTGCAAATTGCCTCAAAGTCTCAGACCCCAGAGAGGGGCTGGAGGAAGTGGTTTATTTTCACCTCTTCCTCTATTAGTCAGATGAGAGAACAGCTTCAAGACCAAGCCTCACGGCCATTAGTCTGCTTTAGCTACTGGAAGTTCTCTCATCTAACGGAGCCTTAATGAAGCCCATTTAGAGAATCACAGTTCTGGAAAATCAGGGTTTCAGCTGCTGTATCCACGACAAGGCAGCCACTCAATCACCCAGCTTCTGGAACGTTCTTTATCCCACTATTCTCCAGCTCATTCTCTGGATCTCAAGCAGCCTCAGCTCCTCTCTCTCCACAAGGCACATTTGCATGGCATCACCTCACTCAGCAGAGCATCTGTGCTCCCCAGTGAACTCTGCAGTGCGCTGGGCCTTACCTTCTCTGTCTTCTCATCAAACAGAGCTATCTTCTGCTCAATCCGCCTCTTCCTCTCCTCCTCCATCTGCTCTGCCCGCTCCCGGGCCTGCAGCACCTTCCGCAGGCGCTCCTCGCGCTTCCTGCGGGACACAGCCCAGGCTCAGCCCTGCAGCCCAGCCACCGGAGCTCCTTACACACACACGAGCCCACAGACACGGCTCGGGGGCAGCAGGGCCTTCATACGGCACCATTAAACACCAGGGGTACTTTTAAGCCCCAAGACCGAGGACCTGAGACAAGAAGCAGCGGCCAGGATGGTTTCACTTGTCGTTAGCCCTCCCAGTGGAGAAAAGAGCAAACACTTTGTGGAGGCAGAGCGAGGCAACTTGTGCTGCCTGCACGGTGTGTGCAGGAGGAGAGACCTGGCCCTGGGGCCCTGCAGGCGCAGGGAGCAGCCCGGCCAGGGCAGAAAGCCAACACTCACAGCTTGGCCTCTTCCAGTCGCCGTTTCTTTTCCTCCTCCAGCTTCTGTTTCCTCAGCTGCTCAGCCTGCTGCTTCTTCCTCAGAGTCTCCAGCTTCTGCCTCTCCTTTTCCTGAGGTGGAGTGAAATGAGATTATACTCCTGTGACAGAGCTGCTTTCTACCTCACCTTGCCCAGGTTAAGCAAGGGCCTGGAGATAACACCAAGGAACTGCAGCCAGAACCCAAGGATGCTGCCAGCAACCCCGGAGCAGAGCCCAGGTAGCCAGTGATGTGGTCATGTGCGCTTGGGAACAGATGCAATGGAAAACAAGGCTGTGGTGTTAATCTCGGAGAAGCTGGGAAGCTGAAAAAGAAGCATCAGCTCCTGAAGGCCAGGCAGCTTCCGCAGGGACTGCAGGCAGCTTCCCCAGGGACTGCAGGCAGCTTCCCCAAGGACTGCAGGCAGCTTCCCCAGGGACTGCAGGCAGCTTCCCCAGGGACTGCAGGCAGCTTCCCCAGGGACTGCAGGCAGCTTCCCCAGGGACTGCAGGCAGCCAGCACTGAGGCTTGTGCTGGTAACCACCAGAAAAGCAGTGCTGATGCTTGGCAGTGCTGGTGCTTGGCAGTGCTGCCAACTCCCTGCAGCGTGCTGGGACAGAGCCTGCTCTAGGAAACACCTTGCTTGCCCCAAGTCAGAGCTCCGGTGCTGTCCCTGCCTCCCACAAAGCTTCCTCTCATGGTGAACCACCACCAGCTGGAGTGCTCACAGCTCCTTTCAAGCCCCACCTGTCAGGCAGGCAAACCCAGGGCATTCCTGTCCTTCTGCTAAGCAGTCCAGCTAACTGAGCCTAAGAACACCCTCATTAGAAGAACACGATCCAGCCATCAGTCCAGTACAGCAAGCAGACCGAGATAAACTAATTTAATGCCAGATTTGATACTGCAGATGCCCAATTACAACAGGCCTGGTCTCAGCACAAAGCCACTGATAAGCTCGGTGAAAGGTTCAAGTGATTGCCTTGTGCTGGGCTCCACGCTGTGAGTGATTGGTGCTATTAGCATCTGAGCTGGCTGATTTGAAACTAATGCTTGTATCTTCCTGCTCTGGTGCTGTTTAGTTACATCTGGCTCCCGCATGGAAAAAGTCCTGAGGGGAAGCTGCCTGTGCTGGAATGAAACCTGAAATAGAACATCCAGGACAAACTGGCCAGAAGATCCCCTCCCGTCCCATTAGCACCACTGCCAGCACAGACACCAGCATCAGGAGGAGCACCATGAGGCTGAGGATGGAGTCCTGCTCTAATCCCTGCTGACAGACCTCTCCTCTCTGCTGCAGCACAGCAGGACTCTCAGCAGCACAACCCTGACACCTTTAAGCAACAAAAAGGTTCTGGTATCAGGTTGCCAGAAACAAGCTGGATGCAGGAAAACCAGTTCCTGCAGGATGCCCTCCTCTCTCTCCCCACTCTCCTGCAAGTGAAAACATGCTGGGTATCAGCAGTATGAGCAGCCTGTGCTCAACATGGCCCTAGGTGCATCTGTGAAGCTACACCCTTGTACCTTGTACACTGACTTCTCTTCCCAGTTAAAAGCAGGTAAGGAAGAGCGAGGGCTGCCCATCAGGGGTGGATGCAGGCAGTATTCCTCCCGCAAGTCCAGCCCATGTAATTAAACCATCATGATTTAGGACCAAACTGTCCTGTGAAAACTCCCTTTGGAAATCTAGAAGCAGATCTCAGATCCCATCCACCCAAACAACTGCTCTGTTTGGTGCACGGGGCTCCCTCTGTGATGCTGAGAACATCACTGTGGTGTGCGCAGGGCAAAGGCACCAGCTGCAAACAGCACAGGAGTGGATTTGTCTCCGCTGGTTGCAACAGTCACACAACATTAATGTTGATGCCCACTGGACTTGGACACTGGCACACTCGTCCCTCTGACCCAGCAGCCTCCCATTCAGGAGACCTGCTTCTTCCTGCTTCAAAGGTCTGAAACGGCTCAGACCATCAGCAGTTTGGATTTGAGGCATTTGCTCAGACATTTGTCAGAACAGTCCTAGAAAGGAGACTTTGGACGTGAGACTTCGGTTGTAGACACACCTCCACTGCAGCATTCAAAATCCCCTTGATTTTCGTTTCCCTGTTTTCATTCCTCACTTACTAGCTAATACCACAGGGCAATGGTACAGCAACAAAGCCCAGAGTCCAAATTAGAGCCCTTTAGCAAGCTGACTAAGCACAGTCTTGTGTACTTCATGTAAGTGTAAAGTAACCAGAGGCTGCTGTTTAAGATGGGTCAAAAAGTTTCTTTTCACATCAGCTGACACCCATCAGACCATCACATCCCAGCTTCCAGGAGCTTTGCTTACCTTGGGATCGGCGCGCAGAGGGGTGTTGTGCTTGATGAAGGACTTGATGACCCCATTCCTCCCCACAGAGCACGGTGTCATGAGCAGCTGGTTCTTCTGCACAGTGTGCAGGAACGTCTTGAACGGCCGCACAACCTGTGGGAGGAATGCCAGGGAGGACCCTCAGGAGGCGGAGGGGGAGCAGGACCCGGGGCAGTTACATCAGGGGAGCAGAGCTCTTACTTTGCTGGCTGGGAAGGTTGGGGACGGGGACTTCCTTCTCAGAGGAGAAAGCCCTCCCTCTTCTGCTTGCTGCTGGTCGTAGCGCTCATCCACAGCTCTCTTGTAGCTTGGCTTTCTCCTGGGAGAAAACCACAGCATCGTCCGTGGCAAATCCTCCATTGTCTCAAAGCCAGGTGTGAAAGAGGCCATAAAACTACCCTAGCTTCCATCCCCCTGGCTATGCACAAGGAGTCATCCAAGAGAAGATTCCCCACATGACGGAAGGTACAACTTAAATAAGATGCAGATTAAATCCCCCTTTCCTGGAGGCAGAGAAAGCCTACTGCAAGAGCCCCACAGCCATAAGACACTGAAGCCATTGAGCAACGTTTCAGTGTTGAACCTGCTTTGAACTGGGCTATGGATCTCCCAAGGCACGTCCTGACTGGAATGATGCAAACGTACCTGGCGCTCTGGGGCGGTTGCTGGGCCTCCCCACTCTTATTTAAGTTGCTTTCTGAAAGAAAACATCATTACATTGTTAGTTCTAGCAGAAAAATACCCCTTCCACAGAGCTCTGAAAGCAGATGGGATTCAGCAGCCACTGTACAGCAAAACAGCCTGCCACAAGTCCTGCACAGCACGAGCTTCCCTGCTTCAGCAAGCAGCACACAGCACCCTTCAAACCTAGACACGTCTAGACACCTAGAGTAACCCACGTTACAGCTTGCACAAACACTGCCCAGGTCACAGAATCCCAGCCTGGTTTGAGTTGGAAGGGACCTTAAAGCTCCTCCAACTCCAACCCCTGCCACGGGCAGGGACCCCTTCCACTGGAGCAGCTTGCTCCAAGCCCCTGTGTCCAACCTGGCCTCGAGCACTGCCAGGGATGGGGCAGCCACAGTTTCTCTGGGCACCCTGTGCCAGCGCCTCAGCACCCTCCCAGGGAAGAGCTTCTGCCTAAGAGCTCATCTCAGTCTCCCCTCTGGCAGGTTCAAGCCATTCCCCTTGGCCTGTCCCTACAGGCCCTTGTCCCAAGCCCCTCTCCAGGTTTCCTTTAGGCACTGGAGCTGCTCTCAGGTCTCCCCTTCAGGAGCCTTCTCTTGTCCAGGCTGCCCCAGCCCAGCTCTCTCAGCCTGGCTCCAGAGCAGAGCTGCTCCAGCCCTCGCAGCAGCTCCGTGGGCTCCTCTGGACTCGCTCCAGCAGCTCCAGACACAGAGCAACCACTTGCTTCAGAAACATGGTTCAAGCAGGCCTCCCATGCCCCGCAGCACACAGCCCTCGTCCCTCACTACATCTGTCTCCATGTGCTCCCCAGGGTGGAAAATAACTCAAGAGGCACAGAACTTCCAAACTGCTCCTCTCCTGAAGCAAACCCTCACTCCTCAAAGGTCAGGTCAGGCTCTCAAGCTGGGCAGCCAAGTGTTGAGACTGCCCAGGGCTCTGCCCCAGCCCTCCTGCGGGTACCGTTACTGCTCGTGCCCTCCTGCAGCCTCTTGCTCCTGTTGCCGGAGTGAGAGCACAGCGACATCTGGAGACTCTGTTGATCCTGCAGGAAAAGCAAAGGGGATTGAGCACAACTCACCCAGACACAGCCAGTTCCTGCTTCAAGCCCTGCTGTCACCGACAGGGACGCTGCCTGCAGAGGATGCAGCTGGCACTGGCACCCGGGCAAAGCCCTGAGCTCCAGCTGTGAAAACAGCTCGGGACAGCATCTTGGATGTTGTGTCACCACTGGGAGCACAGACACTGACAGACCCAAGTGTCTGCAACAGGGGAAGAACCCCCTAAACTGAACAAACTCAGACACTGGCACAGTCAGCAGCATGCAGGATCCTGGCAGTCACAGTTCTCCTGGTGAATGGACAGACAGGAGACAGCAGAGACAAACTACTCATGTCCTGGGTTTCTCTGGGTGCTATTCACTGCTCTCAGGCTTACACAAGTGCTGCACTGATGGGTTATGTGCCTGCAGCAGCAGGGAACGGCTTTTGCCTTCTGCTTGTGCCAGCAGCACAAGCATTAAGCCCCACACTGGCCAGCCTGCAGCACAGCAGACACCGAGGAGTTGGGAAGAGAGGAAACTTCATCCTCCCCACAGGCTTCTGGCGGCTCTTATCCTGTGCAGGAAGCATCTCACAGCCTGACAGAAGGACTCATTAATTCAAGATCAGGCCTGAGGAGAATCTACCCTTTAAGTGGCAACATCCTGGTCCTGTTTTCAGCTGTTCCTATGGACAAAGACACTGCCTGGTTGGAGAAGGCTCCAAGTCACCACATCCTCACGGCTCCCAGAGGAAGTCTGACAGAAACCAAACCCCATCTGCTTTGCCAAGAAGATGCTGACAGATGGGTCGATGGGGCAAGGTAACCGGTGACAGAGGCTGAGCTGCAAGCTGCCAGCAGCAGGGGTGTAGAAATAAAAGGTGAGGATCAAGGATAGACCTTGCTACTCTCCATGGACTGCACTGAACTGATGGGTTATCGAGGTACAGAAACAAAAAGGCCCAGCCCTGCAGTGCACTTGGGTGTGGGTTGTGTTTTTCCTTTCCTTCTCCATGTTTTCACTTTAAGCTGTTCTTCAGCTGGAACTCAGGCAAGCCAGAGATCCAGGGACACTGGAAAACCAGGATTTATTGGAACTGCTGCAGCTGCACTGACAGCACAGCCCCAAGGCACATACAAGCCTGTCCCTGTTCATACAAGTGCTTAAGGCCACAGAGCTCTGCTCCATTCATTCAGCCTTTGCTTACTGGAGGTGATTCTGGACAAAACCCCGACATGAGCCTGGGATTTCCTCCTCAGGAGGAAGGAGGGAATCGTGGAGGGATGTTTTGACCTGAAGGAGATTCACAACTTTCTGTGGTTGCCGTAAGCCAAAGTGAGAGCTGTGAATCACCTCACAGCTTGGTCAAAAGCAGCTTTAAAACTACAGGAAAACAGTGCACAACCTGCCCCTGAAAACAGCTGCCTCGACTGTGAGAAGGTGCTTTACGTGCAGAGATTCAGAATGGAAGCAGCACGAGCCAGAAAGCAGGACCCACCTGGGAACGCCAGCGATCCCAGGGCTGGTCATCAGCACTGGTAGGCCCCAACCCAACTTTAAACCCTTGTGCAACATGACAGAGGCAAAGGCGTTCTGCAGTCAGAGCTTTGAAAGCAGCCGAGCTGGTAGCACCCTACTCCAAACGCCTGTGCTGGTGCCCAGAACAAGCCTTGGCACTCATGGGCCAGATACGATTCCCCAGTAACAAATAAAGGTGGGTTCAACACGTTCCTCTCAGGAACCCACCCAAACAGAAACACTTCTCTGCTCAGATCTTACCGGCTTGGAGGGGGTGCATGGTCCAGGAGAAGGCCTATGGGAAAACACAGAGAAAAAAGGCAGGTGCATTTAATACCACCAGAGAAAGGGGAAGCCCCTTGATACGTGCAAGCAGTAAATGACACCGTAAGTCCCCCAGGAGGGATATTAAGGATGAAGAAAGAACATAAAGGATTCTCACCCAGGTTTGAGAACCGTTTCCTCTTCCTCTGGTATCTCTCCAGAGCTGGAGACTGCAGAGAAAGAAAACAAACACCGGAGCTGTGACAGGCACAGGCCAAGGCTGTCAGCAGCCCTTGGGGCTGAGGTTATCCCCTATGGGTCACGCACACACTGCACCCAAGAGCAAGAGAGAAAATGCAGCAATTGGAATGCAAGAGAGGAGGTGGTTTCAATGACAGAGGAGTTCAAAGCACTCATTAAGCACTTGCATTGAGAAGGGCTGGGCTCAGACTCAGGAGCAGTGGTTACACCCAGTGTTACTTAGGGTGAGTGCTGCTTCCTGCATGGAGCATCTGCTGGCTCAAGGGCAGCTCCAAGTGCCAGCACAGCCAGAAAAGGCTGCGTCAGGTGGTTTTTATTACCTTTGCTATATTTTTATTTATCTATTTTATTTTATTCCTCTATTTCCATCACATTACAAAGGTGCTGCTGCGCCTTCAGCCACTGCAGAGCCCCCAGGATCAGCCTTTGCACAGCCCTCACACCCGAGACCAAAGGAAGCACAAACACACGTGGGGTGCATGCACACGCCACACGCACACATGTGCATCATCACACACACATGTGCATTATCACACACACGCGATGCACGCACACTGCATGTGCACCCCCCAGACACACAGAGAACCCCCCTGCACACACACACACACACACACACACACACACACTCACACTCTGCCATCCATCAGAGTGCCCTGGGCTCACCCAGAGCTGCCCGGAGCATCCCAGCTCCTGTCCCTGGTACCAGATGTTTTGACCAGGCAGAATTGTGTCAAGCAGCACAGGGGGAGAAATAAACCCCTGACCCCCCCCAGGATCCCAGATCTGGACACATGGACCTGCCTTCACTGCGCAGGGAACCCTCAACACTGCTCCGAGACACCACAGAGCTCCAGGCTGCCCTGCTCCCAGGAAACCCCCCCAGGATGCTGCAGGGCTCTAGTGCTGGAGGAGTACTCACCCAGAGCAGCTACACTGGGGTGGAAAACCCTTCCCTGCAAAGCAGGGTACCTCTTCCGCAGCAAAGCGGGATACCCCTTCAGGAAAGGCACAAACCCCACTCAGCTGCACACCAACACCTTACACAGCATCATCTCAGCTCTGTGTGTTCTCCTTTCACAGCAGCTGCACAAAAGAGCCACCCCCAACATCGAATTGGGTGAAGAGGCTCTTTTGCATCCCCTGCATGTCAGGAGCCATTCACTAGGCCAGCATTTACCAGCTACATCTTTCCCTTGGCATGGAAAGCCAGAGCCTCTACCCAGCCCCTTGCTCTCCAGCACCAAACCCAACCCAACATTCCAGCACCACAGGAGAGCACTGAGATCAGTCTGTGCCCACTGCCTCCTCTCCTGAGGTGCCTCCACTGCACACTGTGAGTCTGGAAGACTTCCAATGCATTTACCACGTTGAGCCTCAGCATTCCCTCCTCAAGAGCAGCTCTGGCAGTTACAGCCAGGCTCTGCCCAAAGGCAGCAAACCTGTGACAGCCACCTCATGCCCCAGGAAACACACAGGCCCCCAGGAGAGCCCACAGCAGCCACAAAGCCCTTTCACCATCTTCCTCCTCCGCTTTGGGAGCTGCCACCACCATAGGAACCCAAGAAGCCTTAAAGCTGCTCTCCCAGATGATTTACAAGGCTTAACTGAGTTCACAAAGTTACTGGGTTCCCTAGGCACATCGGTCTCTTGAAGCCAGAGCACATCCATGTTTCACCCCAGGAAGATCAGCTGCACACCCAAAGGGCAGACCTAGCCCGTGACATTGCTTTCCTTCGGCAGTGGGCAGCAGCAGGCCAACAAAGAGAGCAGGGAGGGCGCAAAGCAAGCTCAGTGGTGGTGCTCACACTCACCATCGATGGAGCTGGAGATCACGGACGACGCCCGAGCCGCCTTCCTCTTGATGGCCGAGCTCCTGCGCACGCTCTCCCTCCTGCTGGCCAGGGAGTACTTCTCTGCCAGGGAGGTTCTGCGGATCAGGGAGGCTTTGCCCATGAGGCTCCTGCGCACGGAGTGACGGCTCAGCCTGGAGCCCGTCGGGGTGCTGGGGGGGTCCCTCACGTGCCGGGGGGAGGCCTTCTCAGGGCCCCGCTGGGCCCCAGCAGAGTCCTCGGCCTCCTCCAGCCGGGTCTGCTCACTGACAGTGACCGCAGCATCGGCCGCCTCCGCTGCCCTCGGCTCGGGGGCAGCCCCGCTTGCTCCCACACCGCTTGCTTCGGGGGTACAAGGGAGCAGCTGCTCGAAGGCTACAGGCACAGGCTCAGGGGGGGATTTGGCTGCACTGCTTTCCTTGGGAGAACCATCCTGAGAGCTCAGGACGATGGGTGAGGAGAGCTGCTCTGCTGCTTTGGGAGCTCTCTCCCGGAGCGGTGTCACAGCACTGATGGGATCGCTGGCATCAGCTTTCACTGAGGGAGCCTTCCTGCGTGCGTGCCGGACGGGAGGGGTCTCGGGAAGGACTTGGGAGCTTTTAGCCTGTGCCACCTGGGATCTTGTCACACGTCGAGGAGGGGAGGCGTCTTTGGCCTCAGCCATGACAAGTTCCAGGTTTTCTTTATTTTGGATCCGTTGGGAATATCGTGTGGAGGACACCAGTTTGAGACTGCTGTTCTTCCGTCTGGACAATCTAACAACACAAACACTGTGTGAGACTGCAACTGGATTCAGAAACAGAACAAAGCCCTTCCATGCACTTTAGGGAACATGCAGAGAAACAAAGCTAAAGCATCCAAGATGAGAACCCCTGAAAGCCCAATAAAACCAGAGGGAAGTGGAACTTCCTATGAGGCTACAGAAAGCCATGGAAATGCTCTTTCTCACTGAGAGAGCTGGGCTGGGTCAGCCTAGAGAAGAGAAAGCTCCTGAAGGGGAAACCTGAGAGCAGCTCCAGTGCCCAAAGGGGCTCCAGGAAACCTGGAGAGGGGCTTGGGACAAGGGCCTGCAGGGACAGGCCAAGGGGAATGGCTTGAACCTGCCAGAGGGGAGACTGAGATGAGCTCTTAGGCAGAAGCTCTTCCCTGGGAGGGTGCTGAGGCGCTGGCACAGGGTGCCCAGAGAAGCTGTGGCTGCCCCATCCCTGGCAGTGCTCAAGGCCAGGTTGGACACAGGGGCTTGGAGCAAGCTGCTCCAGTGGAAGGGGTTGGGGTTGGAGCTGGAGGAGCTTTAAGGTCCCTTCAACCCAAACCAGGCTGGGATTCCACGAGATAACGACAGGAAGAGGAAACACAAAGAGAGAGATCGGAGCCGCTGGCCCCTCGCGGCGCTCTCAGGCCGCTGGGCCGGGCCTTTAACCCGCGGAGCGCTGCGGGCAGGACATCGCCTTCGAGCCGCCTCCTGCGGCCGCTTCCCCCCCTTCCGGAAGCCGCGGAACCGGACCCCGCGCCGCAGCCGGGGTCTCGGGGTGCCGATCCCCCCCGCACCTCTTCCTGCTCGGCTCCTGGTTCTCCTGCAGGGCCGTCAGGCGCTTCCTCCGCTGCCGGCTCTTCTGCGACGGCGTCTTGGGCATCAGCTCGGGCTTGTCGCTGTAGTGGCTGCAAGGGGAGAGCGGGGCCGGGATGAGCGCGGGGCGCGGGGGGCAGCGGCCCGGGCGGGCAGGGGCCCCGCTACCTTTGGAACATCCTCTCGGCCTCCTCGCGGATCTCCGCCAGCCACACCAGGTCCACGTCGTCCACCTGCCGCAGGAGCTCGGCCAGCCGCTGGTTGCACATGGTGGGCAGCAGCGCCGTGCCCGCCGCCGCCGCCATCATCATCCGCTCGGCCGCCGCCACCATCACCGCCTCCGCCGCCATCGTCCCTCAGCCGCCGCCACAACGGCCCCGCCGCCCGCCTCGAATTCAAACCAAGCTCCGCCCCCTGCCCGCAGCGTCACGGCAGCGACAGCCTATCACCGCCGCGCCCGCCCCCCTGCCCGGCCTCCCTATTGGCTACATCGACACGGGCGCGCTCAAAATCAGCTCTGCTCAACAGTCCTTACTGCCGCGGGGCACACAGCCTGGAAGGCGGGGCTAGGAGGAGCGACCAATAGGCTGCGGGCTTTTAACTCCGGAGTAGTGATGGGCGTGAGCAGTAACCAATGAGAAGCCAGGTCGCGGGGAGCCGCGCGCTGTGATTGGTGGAGGCCCTGTTGATCTGGAGGCTGCAGCTGGGAGCCGTGTGTGCGGGGGAGCGGTGGGCAGCGCGAGTCTGGTCCGTCCCGCGGAAGGTCCCGTCCCGCGGAAGGTCCCGTCCCGCGGAAGGTCCCGTCCCGCGGAAGGTCCCGTCCCGCGGAAGGTCCCGTCCCGCGGAAGGTCCCGTCCCGCGGAAGGTCCCGTCCCGAGGAAGGTCCCGTCCCGCGGAAGGTCCCGTCCCGAGGAAGGTCCCGTCCCGAGGAAGGTCCCGTCCCGAGGAAGGTCCCGTCCCGCGGAAGGTCCCGTCCCGAGGAAGGTCCCGTCCCGAGGAAGGTCCCGTCCCGCGGAAGGTCCCGTCCCGAGGAAGGTCCCGTCCCGCGGAAGAGGCTCCGCGCTCTGGGGCAGGGGCGGCCGCTGCGAGCCTCCCCTCTTCCTCTCTGCTGTGTTTCAGGCGTGGCCATGGTGGAAGCCGCCGGCCCCACGCGGCTGCTGGAGGTGTGCGGGCAGCGGCTCTCCCGGTTCCTCCGCGATGCCGAGCACAAGCGCCTGGCGTGGCTGCGGGAGGTGGAGGAGCAGGGCATGCGGATGCTGGAGAGGTAGGGACCGCCCCGGGGGCTGGCCGGGCCCGCAGCGCCCCAGCTCCTCTCCGTGCAGGGCTCCGTGTGCTCCCGGCTCTTCCGTGCCCTGTCTCCAGCGAGCGGCAGCGCGGGGATGCTCTCACGGTGCTCTCCTTTGCCCGACAGCAACCTGGGCGCTGAGCCCGGGCCGATGACCAGAACGCCCTCCCAGAGGAGACGCTCCAGGAAGAGGCAGTCCTCCTCCCTGAAAGACTACAGCAAGGAGCCCAGCAGGAGGAGGTAGGTGGCTCGGTGGGCTCCGGCTCCGCCCCGGGCGCCGTGTTTAACCGTGGAACCAAGCGGTGACCGTTCCCTTGTACACAGGGACATCAAACGGCTCCTTTATTCCCGAGTTAGCAAACACACTTAAAAGGGCCCGTCAAGATGGACCCGCGGTTTGATTCCCGTGGAGTCTGGCGCAGGGGTGGCTGGTTTCCTCCCCTTTGGTGTATTTTCCTCTTTTTCTGGTCAGAAACAAAGAACAATAAATACTGTATGTTCTCAGCTGTTTGGGTTTGGGCTTTGCTTGATTTTTGTTGCAGCAGGTTTTGGCCTGAGGTTGGTGTTCACTCCCTAAACCTTTGTGCTCCTGCCTGAGAGAGCCCGAGGATGGAGCCTGCTGCCAGTGCTGTGCGTGTCCAGGGTGGATGTTTGAGCTGGCAGGAGGGAAGGCTCGAAGGGAATAGTGTGAAGCTGAAGTGGAAATCGCCCGTGCACAGCAGCAATGCTGTCCCCAGCTGTAGTTGATTTCCAAGCACACAGATCCTTGCCTGCCCAGTGTTTGAGGTGTTTTGTCCTGAGCAGCCTGATAGGGAGCAGTAGAGCCTTCTGTTTTCAGCTGGGATCCTGAAGATCCCTACAAGGAGGCTTCCACATGGAGCCGCTCATGGGCGTTGAGGGTGGGCAGCTGCTGCTGCTGTCCCAGGACACGCAGTGGTGAGCTCTTTGTGCATGAGGGCACCTGGTTTTGATAACCATGGTGGAAACCCCCAGGAGTTGGACAAGAAGAGTGGGAGCTTAAAGACTGTCAGAACCAGCCATGGAGGACAGGAAGGGCACAAGAGCAGGGAGGGAGCATGGGAAGCTCAGGTGTGCGGCAGGGCAGAAGGGAATGCTGCAGAGCTGAACGAGCAGTGCTCCTTGCTCTGTTTTCCTCAGTGTGTATTTTAAAGCCCATTCTTCATGTTTGTCAGTTGGACATTTCCCACTCGGTCTCTTTTGCAATTCAGGGCAAAGTCCCTCTTCTTGCTAGAGGTTGGAATAAGAAATGAGAAAAGGCTGGAAGGAGGGGATCGGTGTGGGACCACTCCCTGCTTTGCTGGTGGTCATGCACCAGGGGCTGTAGCATCTGTCTCTCTGACTTGCTGATCAAGTCCATGGCTCCGTCCTCTTGTGGCAAGTTCCTAGTGCAGCAAAGAGAGTTTCACTGCTGAAGACCCCCAAGTCTCTGCAGTTGGCCAGGTTTAACAGAAGCAAGGGAGACGTTATGGTACCTGGTGATGTTTCGCTTGGATAACCATAGCTGAGAGAATCCCTGAGTCCCAGCAGCACAGGGATGTCCCTGTGGAATCCCTGAGTCCCAGCAGCACAGGGATGTCCCTGTGGAATCCCTGAGTCCCAGCAGCACAGGGATGTGCCGATGGAATCCCTGAGTCCCAGCAGCACAGGGATGTGCCGATGGAATCCCTGAGTCCCAGCTGCACAGGGATGTCCCTGTGGAATCCCTGAGTCCCAGCAGCACAGGGATGTGCCGATGGAATCCCTGAGTCCCAGCAGCACAGGGATGTCCCTGTGGAATCCCTGAGTCCCAGCTGCACAGGGATGTCCCTGTGGAATCCCTGAGTCCCAGCAGCACAGGGATGTGCCGATGGAATCCCTGAGTCCCAGCAGCACAGGGATGTCCCTGTGGAATCCCTGAGTCCCAGCTGCACAGGGATGTCCCTGTGGAATCCCTGAGTCCCAGCAGCACAGGGATGTGCCGATGGAATCCCGGAGTCCCAGCAGCACAGGGATGTGCCGATGGAATCCCGGAGTCCCAGCAGCACAGGGATGTGCCGATGGAATCCCGGAGTCCCAGCAGCACAGGGATGTCCCTGTGGAATCCCTGAGTCCCAGCTGCACAGGGCTGTCCCTGTTGTTCCCTCAGGGCTGTGTGTGGCAGCAGTGCTGTTCCCCAGCCTGTTCACAGACTGTGTTTAGAGCCGTGGATGATTTCTCAGCACATGGGTCCCTTCCTTCCTTGGTGCTTGTGCGGTGTTTTATCCTGAGCAGCCTGACAGCAGCAGAGCCTTCTGTTTCCAGCTGGGATCCTTTAGATCCCTAGGGGGAGGCTTCCACATGGAGCTGATCATGGGAAACTGTGATAACTGGGGTCCCCACTCCCTCCCTGTGTGGATGTCTGTAGTTTGCTCAAGGCAAAGTTGGTTGTACCTGTATGTGAGCACATCTGTGAGCTCCCAAGGCTCAGCTCCTGCATTTCACCAGTGACATGGGGGGGATGTGGGGGGAATGGTGGAGGGAATAAGGTACAGGCTCACCTGACAACTTGCTGTCTGCTTTTTTTCTCTATAGCCCCTTCGGGAGCTGGAGGCTCCATCATTCTATTGAATGTTGGTTTCGTTTCAGGTTGTCCAGAAGGAGAAGCAGCATCAAGCTCGTGTCTTTCAAGCCAGGCTCCCAAAGGCGCCAGAGCAAGGAGCAGCCCCTGGATCCTGGCTGTGGTGGGGAGGGTGCCCAGGCCTATGCTGCACCCGAGCTCCCAGCACTGCCTGGGGACGGGGCAGCAGAAGCACCAGGTCCCAGCAGAGCCCAGGCGGGTGACCCACAGCGCTGGCCTGCGGGTGCCTGTGAGCTCCCTGTCTGCGAGCAGTCACCGCGGGGGGATGCAGCCAGCGAGTGGCAGGATGAGGCCCCTGTCACCGGGGTCCTTGCTGGCCCCGCAGCGAGGGGGGCACAGGCAGCCCCCGGCAGAAGAACGAGCACCTCCACTCCCAAGGCTGCCGGAGCCGGGGCTGCTCCGGACCTGGCAGAGCCGCTCCTGCCGGGCTCCGGCAGCCGAGGAGCTGCGCTGGGACCCCGAGCGCGGCGCTGCTCCGGGCGCCGGAGCTCGCTGAGTGCCCCCCCCGCGGGCCGGCGGTGCTCCCTGGCCGGCCGGAGGGCGAGCAGGAGCCGCAGGGCAGTGGCCAGGAAGGCGGCGGCGGCTGCGACGCTGGAGTCGTCCTCTGCCTCCAGCAGAGTGAGCTGTAAGTGTGTGCTGCTGCCCGTGCCTGCCGTGGGCTGCGGCGTGGGGATGAGCTGCCCCCCCCGGGCACTGCCCCTCGCCCCTCTTAGCCTGCTCTTCACGGCTCTTGTGGCTTCTGCCCATCGTGGGGGCGATCTTCGGGTCTTCGTCCGCTGTCAGAGCGAGCCCTGGGTTGTGTTTAACTGCATCGGGAGGTGTCTGCGGGGCACAGGGGCTGGAGGCTGGGTTATAGAGGTTGTGCATGGGCAAAAGCCAAGAGGGAAAGGGAAGATGTGGCCTGGCAGGTTCCAGCCGTGGTGGGGTTTGGCTGCTCAGAAGTGACCGCTATGGTCCCTGGGATGGGCTTCATGCCAACGTGGAGTTGTCTCCTGACAACTCGCAGGGAATCTGTAGGAACTGAACTGAATGTCCCCACCCCGAAATCTGCCTGAAACAGGCAGAGGATATAAAGGGTTTGGGTGTAGATAGAAGAGAACCAGAGGAAATGGGGCTCACATGGAACCCCAGCTTGGTTTGGGCTGGAAAGGACCTTAAGCTCATCCAGTTCCAGCCCCTGCCACAGGCAGGGACACCTCACACCAGACCGTGTCGCCCAGCCTGGCCTCAGAATCCAGGCCATTCCTCTTGTCCTCTGTTCCCATGGCTCCTGGGGAGGTTTTGCTGTTTGGGCTTTCTAAAAGCATTGCTGCTGAAGTCGGTGGCTTCTGGCAGAGCCCAGAGGCCTCGGTATTTCGTTGTCAGCTTTGAGTCACGCTGTCTCAGGCGTTTGTTACCACACTTGAGCAAAGTGCTGCTCGGGGGGGTGAAACCAGCCCAAATGCACCAGATCTCTGCAGGAGCTGGGGCTGGGTGATGGGAGCTGCTGCCTCCCTGTGCAGCTGGAGCAGCCTGCAGGCAGGGAGCTGCTCCTCGGTTCCTCCTCGCAGCCCACACCCGTGTGTCAGTGCCACCCGAGGGAGGTGGCGGTGCTGGTGTGGAAGCCGGGATGAGCAATCGGAGCCTCCCCGGGGAGGGTGTGCACCACGCACACGCTGCTGCTCCCGGGGAGCACCGACCCCCCCCAACCTCCTCCTGCTCTCCTCCAGGTCAGAGCTCCCTGGAAGCGTGCGTGGAAGAGGATGTGGCCGGGACGAGGTGAGGCTGCGGGGAGGGCGGGCACGGGGAGCCCCGTGAGGGAGCTGCGCAGGGCACTGCGGTGCTCCAGCTTAGGGCTGGCTCCGTGCCCCTGGGGCGGTGTCACCCTGTGCTCCGTGCCCCTGGGGCGGTGTCACCCTGTGCTCCGTGCCCCTGCGGCGGTGTCACCCTGTGCTCCGTGCCCCTGCGGCGGTGTCACCCTGTGCTCCGTGCCCCTGCGGCGGTGTCACCCTGTGCTCCGTGCCCCTGCGGTGGTGTCACCCTGTGCTCCTGCTCTCACACTGCCGTGGTGTCACCCTGTGCTCTGTGACCCTGCGGTGGTGTCACCCTGTGCTCTATCTCTGTGGCACTGTGGTGGTGTCACCCTGGGCTCCGTGACCCTGTGGTGGTGTCACCCTGTGCTCCGTGCCCCTGCGGCGGTGTCACCCTGTGCTCCGTGCCCCTGCGGCGGTGTCACCCTGTGCTCCGTGCCCCTGCAGGGGTGTCACCCTGTGCTCCGTGCCCCTGCGGCGGTGTCACCCTGTGCTCCGTGCCCCTGCGGCGGTGTCACCCTGTGCTCCGTGCCCCTGCGGCGGTGTCACCCTGTGCTTCTGCTCCGTGCCCCTGCGGCGGTGTCACCCTGTGCTCCTGCTCTCACACTGCGGTGGTGTCACCCTGTGCTCTGTGACCCTGCGGTGGTGTCACCCTGTGCTCTATCTCTGTGGCACTGTGGTGGTGTCACCCTGGGCTCCGTGACCCTGTGGTGGTATCACCCTGTGCTCTTATCACTGTGAAACTGTGGTGGTGTCACCCTGTGCTCTGTCACTGTGAAACTGTGGTGGTGTCACCCTGTGCTCTATCACTGTGAAACTGTGGTGGTGTCACCCTGTGCTCTGTGACCCTGCGTTGGTGTCACCCTGTGCTGCTGCTCTCACACTGTAGTGGTGTCACCCTGTGCTCTGTCACACTGTAGTGGTGTCACCCTGTGCTCTCTCACACTGTAGTGGTGTCACCCTGTGCTCTGTCACACTGTAGTGGTGTCACCCTGTGCTCTGTCACACTGTAGTGGTGTCACCCTGTGCTCTGACACTGTAGTGGTGTCACCCTGTGCTCTGACACTGTAGTGGTGTCACCCTGTGCTCTGTCACACTGTAGTGGTGTCACCCTGTGCTCTGTGACCCTGCAGTGGTGTCACCCTGTGCTCTCTCACACTGTAGTGGTGTCACCCTGTGCTCTGTGACACTGTAGTGGTGTCACCCTGTGCTCTGTCACACTGTAGTGGTGTCACCCTGTGCTCTGCGACCCTGCAGTGGTGTCGCCCTGTGCTCTCTCACACTGTGGTGGTGTCACCCTGTGCTCTGTGACACTCTTTAGGTGATGGTGTCTCCTGGGCTGGTCTGAGCAGCTCCTGTGCCTGTGCTGGGGGCTGTAACCAGGCTCCCAATGCCTGCTGGTGCCCGAGGTCAGGCACCCGCAGTCTCACCTCGGAGGTGGATGCCCAAGGCCCAGCCAAGGGCTCACAGAGCTTCCTTTCTGCCTGTGGGCTGTGCAGGAGGGCTCAGAGCTCATCAGTGCTGGTCTGTAACGCAATGGCTGGGTGCCCCACAGCAAGGCACAGCTCCAGCCCTGTGGCTTGGCTGAAGCAGGCCTGTGCCTCCAGATGGACCTGGAATAGATGGGATGCTTATCTAAATCTATGTATGCGTTCATTTGGGTTTAGCTGTGCTTTCCCTGGGGTCCCACCCGCTGCCTCTGTCACAGTTTGATCATCACCTGTAACTTCAGAGAGCTGGAATCATTAAAACAGCATTTCTCTTCCAGGCCTGGGCTGGAGCTGGACCCCCCAAGGGAAGGGGTGAGTTCTAAGGAGCAACCTCAAGACCGAGCTGCCCCCTTTGCTGAGCACAGCCCTGGCCAGGGTCACTGCCCCATCCCTGCAAGCTCCTCGAGCTGGGCAGCGCCTCGGAGCGCTGGGGTGATGGCTCAGCAGGGAGGGAGAGCACGGTCTGTGTGCAGGGGTGCTGTGCTGCTGCTCCTCCTGGGAGCACACGGCGGTGGTACCCGGGCTGCCGGGGATCCCACCTGAAACCCTTCGCTGTCTTCCGGGGCTGGAGGCTGTAGTTTGGGAGTTGGTGTCTCCGAGGTGTGCAGGCACTGCCTGTTCCCAGGGTGCTCTGGCTTTGGGGTCAGGACCCAGCCAAGCTCCTGCTCTGGTTGGGAAGCGCTGGTCACTGAACTCCCTGCAGAGCCTGGTGTTCCGGGAGCTGCTCAGCATCCATGCAAGAGGGAGAAGCAGGCTCCTGCCTGCAGCTGGAAGGGACTGGGGCTTTCCAAGCAGTGGCTCCTGTAGCCTTGTCCTTCGGGGCAGCAGCACTCACTCAATGTCCCTGTTCCTGCAGGCTCCTGAGGACACGCTCCCTTCCAGCAGAAGCACCCTGGCTGCCAGCTGTCCTGCAGAGCGCTCGGCTGCTCCCGAGCAGCAGGCAGGGAGCGATGGAGGTAACGCTGAGCTGCTCCTGCTTTGCTGTGTGAGGGCCCAGGGACACGGAGCAGGGATCAGCACGAGGGGGTGTGGGAAATGTGGGACATGGTGACAGAAACCCCCCTCTTCGGTAAACTGTGACCCCCTGGAGAGGGCCCGGCTCATCCCACTGCGCATCCCACGCCTTGCGCACGTGTCCGAGCTGTCCTGTCCAGCTTCAGTCCATGTCATGAGGACGTGGGGACCCTTTGGAAGGCCATTGCTCTTAGACCTGGAATCTTCCACCTAGTGTAATGTCCTGGTAAAGCACCCTGGCATCCCTTTCCTCTGCTTTTATGTGAGGGTTTACCAGCTTATTCCCTGTGCCTCCAAGCGAGGGAAGGGCTTTCTGGTTATCCACGGTGGGAAGTGGGATCTAATGAGCAGCTGTAGCTGGAGTGTGGGACAGGTTATTCCCATTCAGAGGGGTCTGTACCTGATGTGTCCTGCAGCATGCTCACATCCAACCCTGGTGTCCCAGGCTCCTGCTTTCTCAGCCTGGTTCCCGTGCCATGGGGTTCTGAGGCCAGCGCGGAGCCCTGTGGGTGTCCTGCAGTGGTGCTGACTGCAGGCTCCTCCACAGGAACCCCGGTAAATCCCATCAGGGAATCCCAGAACAAGGACCAGGAGCGATCACCCTGTGCCAGGCCCCAGGAGGATCCCCCATGCATCTGGTACGAGACCCATGTGAGGAGGAGGCAGGAGCCGGTGTCTGAGGGGCTCAGACCTGGCCTTAAGTGATGGGTTCCATAGAGCTTTGGGTGTTTGTCCCCAGTTCTGACCCCTCCTTGGCCAGACCTTGTCCCCAGGAGCTCCTCCTGGAGCTGCGTTTCCCTGGGCAGGTCTGGCTGGGGAAGCAGAGGCAGGAGGTGACCGAGATAGCGCAGGAACAGCTTGGTGTGCCCATGGGTGGCTCCTGAGGGTGCTCTGGGAGCAGCTCTGGAAGGAATGCGAGTGGGTCACTGACCTGTTTATTTATATCCCGTGCAAGTGCCTGGAATAGCTGACCTGTTCCCTCTCAGCGCTGACCAGTGCTCCACGTCAGATTCCAGCTGCTCTTAGCTTTGCCCCTGCCCTGGTTTGGCTGGAGGGAGCTGCCTGGGGTAGAGAACAGGAAGGGGAGCAACAGTGACCTCTGGATGTGCAGCTTCCCTCAGGGCTGCTGCTGTGGGATGGGGTCCTGGCTGTGCGGTGAAGCATCCCCCTGGGATGAAGGGATGCGAGTGAGGCCGTTTCTGACACTGGTGAATGTGTGAGTGTCCAAAGGCTTCCTAAGGCACACGGAGCCAGTGGGGTGAGCTTGTGCTGTTTGTCTGCTTGTGCTGTTGACACCACCTGGAGTGGGTCTGAGTGGAGGGGGAGCGTGATGTCGTACATCCCTGCCCTGCAGCTCCCCTACGGGGTTACCCTGTGCCTTTCCCGTCCTCCTTCCCGATGGACTGTGTGCCTGGCACAGGGCTGACCGGGCTCCATGGCCCATGTCCTCAGCTGGCAGCGAGCAGGCAGAGGGCAGCGTGTGACACCAAGCGAGCGCTGCCGGCGGGGTTGGGATGCGGTGGTTCCCTAACGCGCCTCTTGCTGATGCCACCAGGACCAGGAGCCGCACGCAGGCGATGGGCGCTGTGTGGAAGGGGCAGCAGCAGCAGCAGCCGGGGGCTCAGGCCCCGTCCCCTTCGGGTGAGCGGCGCGGGAGCCCCGCAGAGCCTCCCCCCGGCGCGGGCAGCAAGGTGAGCGGGTGCCGCGGCCCCTCGGCCCCTTGGTCCTCCCCGCTCCTCACCTCCCGCCTCTCCCCGCTCCTCACCTCCCGCCTCTCCCCGCTCCTCACCTCCCGCCTCTCCCCGCTCCTCACCTCCCGCCTCTCCCCGCAGGTGCTGCGGAGCCTCCTGCGGGCCGTGCAGCGGCACCCGCTGCTCCCCAGCCCGGCCCCCCCGGGCCACGGCGGGGTCGTGAGGAGCCTCCTCCAGCGCAGCACCCGCACCCGGCCCAGCCCCAAGGTGGGTCCGAGCCCCAGCGGGTGCAGGGTCCTGGGCTGGCGGTGATGGGGGGATTCTGGCACAAGCACGGACCCATTCCTGGCTCAGCGCCGGCCCTTGCACGCTGCCCCCCCAGTTCTGCTTCGCCCCCCCCCGGGCGGCCCCGCAGGGTCTGTGACAAGGACGTTAGTGACTGGGGTCTCTGGTACCCCCAGACCTCCCTCCCCTGCAGGGCACCTTGTCTGCTCTGTCGGGAGAGCACTCAGAGCCTCGGAAAGCTGGGTATCTTTGAAGAGGGAACGTGTCCTTGTGTCTTAGGGGGCTGCTTTAGGGCTGGGGTCAGGCAAGGGGTTCTCTACTCTGTCCTGGTAAGGAGCTGCAGCTGAGAACAGGGGTGTATGCTAGAGGGGTTCTAGTGTTAATCCCAAACCCTTAACCATGGTTTTGTCTCATCTCTGCAGGGAGACTTCGTTGTAAGTAACAACACCCTTAACCGTGGGCACTGGAGGGTTCTATGGGCCTCGTGGGCACTGACAGCTCCTTCCCCTCTCACTGGCATCGTGCAGCTGTGGCCACGCCAGTGGTGAGGTGCAGGAGCTCCTTCAGGTGTGTTCTGGGCTGGGAACTGTGAGGAGACCTTTGCCTCTAAGCAGGACTCCATCGTGCTCCTTTCCCCGCCTTCTCCAGCCACTGGTGCAGGTGACACGGTCCCAGGCAAGAAGCATTCGCTCACTTACAGCAGGTGCTGTTCCTTGCCTGAAGATGCTCTCTGCAGCTGCAGGACTGAGGAGTTTCCCTCCCGTGCCCGTGACTCTCCTGCTCCCATTAGCTGAATCAGCACTGTTGCCAAACCTGCGTTGTTTCTCCCCTGCTATTCACTTCCCATCCCGGTGTGTGGGTGAACGTGACTGACAGTGACTCCTTTGTTTAGCCTCCAGCTGCCTGTGCGCAAGCAGCCCGGGGGTAGGAACAGGCCCCAGCAGTTGGTACAGTCTGAACTCATCTCCCTCCAGGAGAAGGAGCGGCAGAGACTGGAAAGCCTCAGGAAGAAGCAGGAAGCTGAGGAGCAGAGGAAGAAGAAAATGGAGGAGGAGAAGAGGCAGCGGCAGGCGGAAATGAAGCAGTGAGTTGGTCCCTTTGCCTCCTGCGCCTTCCCTGGGTCACCACAGAATGGCCCTGGAGGCCCTTCCTGCCCCACAGCAGCTCTGCTGTACCCTGCCTGCTGCCTCCCCCTTGGGTTGTGCAGGTGAAGCTGCCTGGCCCCCCAAGCCCTGCTGCTCATGGCAGCAAGAACCACACCATGCAAAGTGCCTGCTGATGTCTGAGCTTAGCCCAGGAGCCTGCTGAGGCCAGGCCCAGCCCAAGTGAGACAAGCAAAGTAACTTCTCCCTAGTCACCATGACAAGTCCCTGTTCCCCATCACCCCTGTGCCAGCACGGACCGAGCCATTCCCCATCACCCCTGTGCCAGCACAGACCGAGCCATTCCCCATCACCCCTGTGCCATCACGGACCGAGCCATTCCCCCATCACCCCTGTGCCATCACGGACTGAGCCGTTCCCCCATCACCCCTGTGCCATCACGGACCGAGCCGTTCCCCATCACCCCTGTGCCATCACGGACCGAGCCATTCCCCATCACCCCTGTGCCATCACGGACCGAGCCGTTCCCCCATCACCCCTGTGCCATCACGGACCGAGCCATTCCCCATCACCCCTGTGCCATCACGGACCGAGCCATTCCCCATCACCCCTGTGCCAGCACGGACCGAGCCATTCCCATCACCTCTGTGCCAGCACAGACCTAGCTATTCCCCATCACCCCTGTGCCAGCACAGACCGAGCCATTCCCCATCACCCCTGTGCCAGCACAGACCGAGCCATTCCCCATCACCCCTGTGCCAGCACAGACCGAGCCATTCCCCATCACCCCTGCGCCAGCACAGACTGAGCCATTCCCCATCACCCCTGTGCCATCACGGACCGAGCCATTCCCCATCACCCCTGTGCCAGCACAGACCGAGCTGTTCCCCATCACCCCTGTGCCATCACGGACCGAGCCATTCCCCATCACCTCTGTGCCATCATGGACCGAGCCATTCCCCATCACCTCTGTGCCATCAGGGACCGAGCCATTCCCCATCACCCCTGTGCCAACACAGACCGAGCCATTCCCATCACCTCTGTGCCAGCACAGACCGAGCCATTCCCCATCACCTCTGTGCCAGCACAGACCGAGCCATTCCCCATCACCCCTGTGCCAGCGCAGACCGAGCCATTCCCCATCACCTCTGTGCCAGCACAGACCGAGCCATTCCCCATCACCCCTGTGCCAGCACAGACCGAGCCATTCCCCATCACCCCTGTGCCAGCGCAGACCGAGCCATTCCCCATCACCTCTGTGCCAGCACAGACCGAGCCATTCCCCATCACCCCTGTGCCAGCACAGGCTGTGCTAACAGCCTCTTGCACTGCCCAGGAAGAGGGAAGAGCGCCTGAGGAAGGCGCTGCAGGCTCGGGAGCGGGCAGAGGAGGAGAAGAAGAAGCGGATGGAGCAGAAGATCCTGCAGAGCGATGAGAAGGTGGGAATGGTGCTTGAGCTTGGGACCACCTGCTGACGCTGTGTGAGTGAGCTGAGACCAGGAGGCTGCAAACAGGCCCTGGCACGATGCGTGCGAGCACAGGGCTGCTGCTGGCGGTGACTAATGGGGTGGTGGGGAAGGCTGCAGCAGGCACCCTGAAATCCTCTGTCTGACAAGCGCAGGCTTTTGTTCTCCAACCCTCTGCAGTGGCTCCAAACGTTCCTGTTCTGACACGCAGTGGTTGCGGTGCTCCGGCTCCAAGGAATGTGGCAGCATCCCTTGGCTGTCCTGGGAACAGGCCCTGCAATGAGCCAGCCTTGCTCAGCTCCCTGCACCACCAGGGAGCTGTTCACACGCTGCATTACAGGCAGCGAAGCCTCAGTGCTTGTGGGGGTGCAAAGATGCTGTGGGGAAGAGCACTGAGCACACGAGGGATGCTCCTGGCTCGGAGACTTGGCTCTCTGTGTGTTTGCATCATGCTTGGTTTCCAACGCCTTGCCTGGCCCTCAGCTGAGGACAAGTGGATGAGGAGTGTGCTGGGGTGGGCTGCTGACGTCTGGGTGCAGGGTGTTGCTGTTTCTGCACACATCAGGTTGTGTGGGGCTGAGGGAGGCTGCTCCTGACTGACCCAAGCCCTCGCAGCCTTGGGGAGGAGAATTGCTCACCCTGGGGCATGGACTGGAGTGACCTCTGGAAAGGGGTAACCTCAGAAAACAGAGGAATTGTGCTGCTTTCTGCTGCCCCAAAACCTGGGTGGCCCAAAGCACCCCCAGCCCTGGCTGGGCTGCTCCTGCAGACATGCCAGTGCTTCACTGGGGCACAGCTGGGGTGAGGGCCAGCTCTCACACCCCCAGTGGGTGCTGCAGCTCGGGTAGCTGACAGCAGCACTGCAGGCAAAGCAGAACCCAGGTGCCAGACCCCTTCGTCCTGCAGAGAGCCACTGTCGAGGTGGAGCCGTGTTCTGGGGTTGTGTAGTGGTGTCTGTGCCCCCAGCCATGGCCTTGCTGCACAGGGGCGGTGTAGATCCGGCACACACGTGCTGGGCGCTGGGGTCTCGGTAGGACCCGGAACCTCTTGGCCCCCAGCAGCAGCGCCCTGGGCACGCACTGGGGGTGTCATTGGGGTGCTGGAGCAGAGCGTGTGGCTCCCCTCAGGTGCGGCTCTCCCAGGCACGGGACAGGGAGGAGAAGGCGGAGGAGCGGGGCAGGAAGAAGCTGTCCAAGAAGTCTGGGGAAGCTGAGGCACGGAAGCAGAAAGCGCTGAAGGGGGTAAGAGCAGCCCTAGCTCCCTCCTGCAGGTAGAGGAGGAGCAGTGGGAACCCGTGCCCTGCTCTGGCTGGTGGGACACGGGAGGTTCCTGACTCTCGAGCACAAGGGTACCCGTGGGGACAGAAGACTGCCCAAGGGGCAGGCCTGCCATGGAAGAAAGGAGAGAAGGAGACAGCTTGTCTCAAAGCGTGCACTTGATGTCCTCCCACCTTTCCCCCCTTGAGCTGGAGGCTTACAGGGGTTTTCTCCTCTCCTCAGGAGGAAGATGAATTGGATCAGCCAGAGCCGCTGCAGAAGAGGAGAGAGGATGAAGTGAGGGGGAAAGGAAAGAAAGTCTTGGAACTGAGAAGTCTTCTGGAGCAGCAGCAGGCGGAACACGGGAAGGAGAGGTATTGCCTTGGCTCTGCCCTCAGGAGGCACTGGGCAACGGGAACAGAAACAGCATTGCTGAAGGTGGGAGCCTGCTGAGGGCTCCGGCTGGCCCCGGGCACGGGAGCAGGGGGCTGTAGGGTTGCTGGGGGGCACAGACAAGCTCTGCTCTGTAACTACAGTGCAGGTTTTCTCCCCAGGGATCACAGACCCGGAGGGAAGGAGAAGCCTCCCCATCCGCAGCTGGGGGCAGCGGCGTTCCCCGAGAAGCACAGAAAGGTGGGAGCTGAAGTGGTCTTGGAGCAGCTTCTCTGCTGGGAGCATGGGAGGCACAGGCGTGTTTTCAGTGCTGTGTTCCTGTCCAAGGCTTCCATGTTCTCTGTTGCCTTATTTAGAGAGGCAAACACAATCAAACTGGTGACGAGCCCAACGTGTTACTGCAGGGAGCTGGGGCTGGTGCAGGAGCCGCCAGCTCTGGAGGTGAAGCTGGAGTTGCCTTGCTACCGGTGAGCTCCCCAGCCCATCACGAGCTGGGGACAGCCATAACACGGCCCTGTGAAGGACACCCCCAGTGCCATTCACTGACACTTCAATGGATATGGAAATCAGTAAGGGGCAGGGGGGGTCCTACTCCATTCCCTCCCTGGTTTTGGAGGATGTGATCCCATAACACAGGTACCAGATGGCTTCGTGTGGCTCCCTTTACCCTCACACAGGGAATGTTGTGGCTGTTTTTCTCAAAACATCACAGCAATGTTTTCTTCCCCCTCTCTCCTGACATCGCTCTGCTCTTCTGCCTTCATTAGTAAAGAATCAAAGCCCCACATGCTGCTACCCCTAAGCATGAGTTCCTCCGTCTGTGCTTGCTCTTACTGGGTCCATGACATTCAAACTCCTGGTGATGCTGTATAATATTAATGAAGGTCTAAGCAGAGCTCCTCCAGATGAGAGGGAAGCTGACTCTAATTGCAGGTGCCTGCAGCTCATGCCCTCGCATTGCCCTTCCCTGCTGAGGAATGTGGGAGAAGGAACTCCTGGGAAGTGATTTGGGTTTGGGTGGAAAAGGAGCTCAAGCAGTGAAAACTTTTCCTCTTTAGAAAGAGAGCCCAAAGGAGCTGTGGGGCAGGAGAAGAGAGCCAGGCAACCAGAACCCATTGCTGTGGCTTCAAAGCCTGGCTGAAAGCAGTAAAGGGGAGCGTGGGCTCTAAAGAGCTTGCAGATGTGGATCTGAGCAAAGACTTGGGGTTACGTTATCTCTGAGTCTTGGGTTTGGTTTGGTTGTTCTGTGGGTTTGGTTTTTTTTCCTGCAGAAAAGACACAGAGGAGCTGAGGATTCTCTTGCAGGGCCCCAGAAACGATGGCTCAGTTCCAGAGCCAGCCTGGCTGCTTTGCTTGGGTGAACATGAATGAGGAATGGCTTCATTCTCGTATCTTAGCAGGAGGAAGCTGGTCTGCAGCGCCCGGGAGAGAGGAAGCTCAAGCAGCCAGAGGCCCCGACTGCTGCCGCTGGCACAGGGCTGAGCAAAACGCTAAAGGTGAGTCCTGGCTGCAGCGGAGCCCTCGAGCCCGGGGGGAATGTGGTGTCCGACCGGCTCCCGGGGCTGGGAGCCAGCCCGTGGAGCAGGGATGGAGCAGGAAACGCAGCCCCGGTGCGTGCTGCTGGGCTTCAGCCGGCGCTGTGCGGAGACGGGGATGGCTTCGGCTTGGCCAGAGCTCGGGGCAGGAGGAACCCGAGGGGAAAACACGTGGGGTTTATGCCGGGAAAGATGAAAGGGGCTGGAGGTGGCCACCGGATGGCAGCGCCGGGAGCCCCGGTTCCACCGCGGGGCTCCGCAGCCTCTTTGAGGTGGAGCTGCTTAAACCTGATAGCGGGAGGTGGAGGAAAAGCTGCTCGGAGCCGGACTCCGTTCTCCCGCCCTGGGGCTGACGGGGTCCTCCTGCTCCTGCTGCCTTCGCCCTGCTGTGGCTCCTGTCAGAGCTCAAGGGAGCAAGAACCAGACCTGCCATGAAACGGAATGGTTCGAGGGGTGCAGCCGCGTGCGCAGAGCCAAGCACTTGGTTCTCCCAAAGCTTTTGCACACAGATCAGGAGGGGAAAGGGGCTAAAAGCCGTTCCCGAGTGGCTGAGCACAGGGGCAGTTCCTGCACTTGCACAGGGGTGGATGCTGCTGTGCTCCTGCAGTACAGAACCCTCCCGGTTTGCTCTCCAGTTGGCATCTCCAAGCGCTCCTGTGCTGCATGGGACTGTCGGGTGTCCCGGTCATCCTCTTCCTCTCCGCAAAGCCAGGAGCTGTCTCCAAGCTTTGGCTTGTGCTGTTCTGACCTGCAGCTGCAGTGGGAAACAGGGCCCTGGCTTCTTCCTACGCAGGCACCGGCAGTTCCTCCTGGCAGCTCTGGAGCTGCAGGGTGGGAAGGGGCTGTTTCACTGCGGTCTGCAGTCCCTGTGGCAGTACAGCTCATGGAATCATGGAGCTGTTTGTGTTGGAAGGGACCTTAAAGCTCCTCCAGCTCCAATCCCAACCCCTTCCACTGGAGCAGCTTGCTCCAAGCCCCTGTGTCCAACCTGGCCTTGAGCACTGCCAGGGATGGGGCAGCCACAGCTTCTCTGGGCACCCTGTGCCAGTGCCTCAGCACCCTCCCAGGGAAGAGCTTCTGCCTAAGAGCTCATCTCAGTCTCCCCTCGGGCAGGTTCAAGCCATTCCCCTTGGCCTGTCCCTCTAGGCCCTTGTCCCAAGCCCCTCTCCAGTTTTCCTGCAGCCCCTTCAGGCACTGGAGCTGCTCTGAGGTCTCCCCTTCAGCAGCCTTCTCTTCTCCAGGCTGCCCCAGCCTGGCTCCAGAGCAGAGCTGCTCCAGCCCTTGCAGCAGCTCCATGGCCTCCTCTGGCCTCCCTCCAGCAGCTCCATGTCCCGCTTGTGCTGGGTCCTGTGCTGCTGGGATGTGGTCCGGGGCTCTGGGTGCCTGCAGGGCAGGGCCCTCCCTGGCCACCTCCTGCTCCAGCCGCTGCTGCCTCTGGTTTCAGAAATCCATCTCCGCACCCTACTTGAAGCCCCTGAAGGGCACGGAGCAGAGCAGCCACCCAAAGGTGAGCGAGGACAACTATGGCATGGACCAGAACAGCGACGATGCCACAGATGATGAGAACGACCCTCGGAACCCGGTCCCTGCCTGGGCCGACGGTAGGTGCTTGCGTTGGTTTCCTTTCTCTCCTCACCTGGAAGCTGAAGTTCTCCAGGGCAACTCGGTACTATCCTGGCTTCCCCAAAGCCAGGCGTGAGCGTGTGGGAGCTGAGCAGTGCTGGGAGCTGCTGGCTCTATGTGGGGCTGGAGCCATGCTCCTGCCAGTGCTCTGGAAGCTAAAGCAGAGTCGTTCCTGTGTGTGTTGGGATCCAAGGATGTGAGAATGGGGGGGGCCTTGTCCAAAGCCCCTCTCCAGGTTTCTCGTAGCCCCTTTGGGCACTGGAGCTCTCTCAGCCTGCTGTGATGTGTATCCTAACTGCCTCTGTGGGGCCGCTTCCCCAGGCCCTCGGCTCAAGCAGGGCATCATGCACCAGTACTACCACCCAGTGAACACGGACCAGCTCTTCGGGCTCATCTCAGGCCTCCGGCTGGAGGAGATCTTTGGCAAGAGCAAGCCCCGGTACTTCAAGCGCACGAGCTCGGCCGTTTGGCATTCCCCACCCCGGCCCAGATCCGCCTCTGGCCCCTCCTGCAGCCTCAACAAGTGAGGAGAGGGGCAGGGATGTGTCTGATGCCCACCCGCAGCCTCAGCCTGGGTCTCAGTGTGGAGCCCGGGGGCAGGTCTCACTGCAGCCTCTGTGTACAATTTTAACCCATTTTTTGTACAGATTAAATTATTAAATAAAGCTCTGTTGCAATAACACCCCCCCCCCCCGTGTGTCTGCTCCGTTTTGGGGCTGGGATGATGCTTTGGCGATCGATGCTGTGCTCCCTGCCCGTGCTCAGGCAGTTGGCTGGGATGTGGTGTTGTGCTCTGCTCTTCCATCTGCTCTCTCTTAGGTTCCCCCGAGCCCTTTGGGGCTCTCTCAGCATCCTTGGGGAGTCCCTCCAGGATTTCAGGGTCCTTCAGCTCCTCCAGCCCCTCTGTTACCCAAGGGGCTTGTCCCAGGGCAGAACAGACCTGACACGAGCTCTCGCTGGGTGAGGCTGAGCCTGTGGGTGCCACCTCAGTGCTTTCCCCTCTGCTGCTCCACGGGGCCCAGCTCGGCCGCACCGCAGCTTCCTCCCATGCAGGATGTGGCAGGTCCGGTTTCAGCCTCCGCAGCAACACCCGGGCTTGGTCCTTTTTGGCTCCACTGGGGTTCCTGGCCCCTGCCCCTCCTGGGTCCTGCTGTGTGCTCCGGGTGCGCTGGGATCCTCTGGGTCAGCTCTTTGCAGCTCTCCTGGGCTCTCTGAGGCTCCCTTGGACTCAGCGGGGCTCTTTGGCCCTGGTTCCTCTGAGCTGTTCTGGCCCCTTTCACCAGTGCCTTTCTCAGATGCCTCCAAGGGCTTGTGGCATCTCCAAGCCTCCTGAACCTCCGCAGCCGGTCTGGGATGTGCTGCCCGTTCCCAGGCTCCGACTGCTCCCCACCAGTGGTTTCTGTTCCTTTGATGGTCCTCACGTCACCCCCCAGGCACCTGAGGAGCAGCAAGTCCAGGGGTCAGGCACAGGGTGGGAGCCAGGGTTAGGATCTCCTCAGACCGGAGTTCGCTGCAGCCAGGAGCAGGGATGTGGGTCCCATCGTGCCTGTGGGTGAATGTGTTTTGCTCCAGCCCCACACCAGTACTGCCCATCAGACCATGGCCAGTGTTTGATGCTCTGACCATGAGCCTGAAGCTCCCAGGAGGGCCCCTGCTGCAACCACAGCACTTCCAGTCGGGACGGGGACCAGGAAATGCATTGGAGCAGTTCTGGAGGACGTGGGATTGGCTGCGCCAAGAAGCTGGAATTGGGATGAGAAGCTGTGGGAGCCCTGCCTGGATGTGCCAGGTCCCTGAGCTCCAGCCCAGTGCCCAGCTCTGCTCAGCTGTGTTCCGGTGCTCCCGGCAATGGGAGAGGAGCAGCCCATGGAGCTGCACAGCATTCAAGGGCACGGCTGCTGATGGGAACCACCACGGTGTGGAGAGCCTTCTGGGAGGAGCTTTATTGCACAAGGCTACAACACGAGTGCTCTTCACAGTAAATCCATGGCCAGAAGCAGAGGGAGACCTTCCTGGGGACTACACAGACCCCATCGACACGGGAGCCACAGTGAACATCCACAGGGAGTGAATAGGAATCTCGGCAGCCACCATGTGTCTGGGCACTGCCAGCACCAGGGAGCAAACAGAAACAGTTTGGACCCACCAGTGCCTCACCCCCACTCCCTTCAGCCGCAGCTCTGCTCCTTCCCACCCTCCCAGGGCCCTGGGGCAGGCCCTGTTGGACCCGTAATGCACAGACAGGTCTCGGCTGCAGGGGGTTCCTTCCTGCGCTCCTCTGGGGGATCGGCAGAGTCCGTCGGAAGGTTTTCAGCACTGAAAGGACGCCTCAACAGGAAACCCCTCATCCATGGCACACGTTCAGGCTCGGTCCCTGAGCCCCTCGCGTCACCGGTCCAGCCCTCACACGAGTTTGACTTGTTCAAGCGCTGCCGCCTCCTGCAGGGTCTCTTCATCCAGCCCCGAGCTCGGCAGCCTTTGGGGAGGAGGAGGAAGAGGTCAATCCCCTCCCCGAGCTGACCGTGGCCCATGGCACTGCAGCCAGAGAGGGCAGAGGGGGCCAGCATGGGGGTCTTGGTGCCATGGGGACCCTGCCTCTGTGGGCTTCCTGCTGCTATACAGCCTACTGCTCTCTGCAGCTGCCTGACAGGAGGATGCAGTGAAGGGGGTCAGGCTCTGCTCCCAAGGGACAAGAGGCCTCAAGCTGCATCAGGGGAAGTTTAGATGGAGGTTGGGACCCCTTGTCCCTTACCACAGCTCCTGTAAGCACCCAGGTGATGCCAGGACCCTTGTCCCTTACCACAGCCTCTGCAGGGACCCGGGGTGCTGCCCCAGCGCCCTGCACAGCGCCCGCACGCTCCCGTTGTCCAGGCTGTTCTCGCTCAGGTCCAGGGTCTCCAGGGCGCATCCAGCACGGAGCACGGAGCACACGTCCTCGCAGCAGGCTCCCAAGAGGCCGCACTGCCACAGGCTGCGGGGACAGGGAAGGGACACGTGGGGACACCCCATGCACAGCCAGGAACCCAGCCTGGCCGCTGCGTGCCCCAAAACAGCTTTCAGGGAGGACTTGCTCCAGAGCTCGCTCCAGGCTTCCTGTGAGGTCCTGGTGCTGGATAAAACCTCCCAGGATGGGGAGCATCCCTTTGGATGGGCATGGGCAGGACCGGGCTTCCTCTTGACTGGGTTACCCCAGTTACTTCTCGCAACCCCAGAATAGGATTTGGTCTTTATGGAGCAAAATAGGGTTGGGGTGATCCTTATGGAGCAAACATCCGTGCACATGCACTTGGAACGTGCCACGGGATGGAATGCCTGCAACTGGGGCAGGGAGCGCGCTGCTGCTCCGCCTGGGAGAGCTTTAAACGCCACTTGAAGTCACCTCGTCTGGGTGCTCATGAATCATTTAACCCACTGTAAACATCACTTCCCATTTCAAGCTGCGGGCACCCGGTCCCTGCGGCTCCTGCGGCCCAGAGGCACGCGGGGCGGGGGGGGGGGGGTCCCGCACCCAGAGACCCTGCCCCGGGGATGCAGGGGCGGCTCCCGGAGCCCCCCGACTCAGCCCCACATCGCGTCACCCACCTGAGGCTGCGCAGCCGGCAGCGGGGGTCCCGCAGCCCCGGGCTCAGCCGCCTCACTCCCCCGTCCCCCACAGCGTTGCCCCCCAGGTGCAGCTCGGCCAGGCTGGGGCTGTCAGGGAGCACCGCGGCGAGGGTCTCACAGCCCAGCTCCGTCAGCCCGCACTGCCACAGCCTGCGGGGAGCGGCGAGCGGGGCCTGGCCACGGGGCTCTCCCGTCCTCCAGGGCCCCAGCGCCAACACCCCCCCAGCAGTCACGTCTGTCCCCGGGGGCACTGCAGCCCCTGCCCTCGGCTCAGCATCACCAGGGAGCTCTCCCAACCTCCGCTGGACAGGCCCAGCGCGTCCCCCTCCTCCATCGCTGCAAAGCAAAGGTGCCCCGAGGGAGCTGGGGGGTTCAGCCTGGAGAAGGCTCAGGGGGGACCTGATGGCTGCCTACAAGTGCCCGAGAGGAGGATGGAGCCAGGAGGGGCTGGGCTCTGCTCCCAAGGAACAAGGGATGGGACAGGAGGAAACGGCCTCAAGCTGCACCAGGGCAGGTTTAGATGGAGCTGAGGAACAATTCCTGCCCCAGAGGGTGCTCAGGCATTGGAACAGGCTGCCCAGGGCAGGGCTGCAGGCACCGGCCCTGCAAGTGTTCACACACCGTGGAGACGAGGCCTCAGTGCCATGGGTTAGGGGTGGCCTTGGCACTGCTGGGGTAAGGGCTGGACTGGATGAGCTTAAAGTTCTTTTCCAGCCTGGTTGGTTCCATGGCTCTGTGATTTCTCACTGTTACCTGCCCTGCTCTGTGCCTCCACCAACCCAGCCGGACCCTTGCCCCTGGGGCTCCATGCAGCAGGGGGATGTTGCCCTGGCAGATGTGACTGATGCTGTTATCCCACTACTGTCCCGCAGCCCCTCAGCAGCCGTGTCCTGCCTGGCTTCCTGCTCCTGGCTGACTGGGATGGGGCTCGCTGGTAGCACCAGGGCGAAAGCGGGTGAAAAGCTTGTTCAGAAGCAGATGGAAAAGACAGTTCTGGCTCAACAGCGGTGGCCGTGGTGGAGCCCTGTGGGACTGGGGCACCCACCAGTGCTCTGCCACTGGCCCTGGAGCACCGAGATCCCTGTTCCTGCCGCACAGCATTTCCCAGAGCCTCCCCGGCTCAGCCCCACATCGCGTCACCCACCTGAGGCTGCGCAGCCGGCAGCGGGGGTCCCGCAGCCCCGGGCTCAGCCGCCTCACTCCCCCGTCCCCCACAGCGTTGCCCCCCAGGTGCAGCTCGGCCAGGCTGGGGGTGTCAGGGAGCACCGCGGCGAGGGTCTCACAGCTCAGCTCCGTCAGCCCGCACTGCCACAGCCTGCGGGGGATCGGGGCCTGAGCCGGGACACACCGAGTCCCGGCCACCCGCTGCTTCCTGCCCCATCCCTGGCAGTGTTCAAGGCCAGGTTGGACACAGGGGCTTGGAGCAAGCTGCTCCAGTGGAAGGGGTCCCTGCCCGTGACAGGGGTTGGAGCTGGAGGAGCTTTAAGGTCCCTTCCAACACAAACCAGGCTGGGATTCTATGACTCAGTGCCCCTGAGCCCCGGGCTGTGACCGGGCTGGTTTAACGCATCCCCAGGCAGCGACGTGGCCGCATCCTGCGCACCCGCCCCAGTCCCACCCTGCAGCCCCACCGGCTCACGGCGGGACCGGTCCATACTCGAGCCTCCGGAGGCCGCGCCCGGGTCCGCGCAGCGCCGCGCACAGCTCCCGCACGCCGCCGTCCCCCACCGCGTTGTCGCTGAGGTCCAGCAGCGCCAGCCCGGGCGCTGCCGCCAGCACCGGTGCCAGAGCCCTGCAGCCCGCGGCCGTGATGCTGCAGCCGCCCAACCTGCGGGGGGACAGAGTGAGGGGGGCCGTGCCGGTGGCCCCAGCTTGGAGGTGGCTCCTGCAGCAGCGGTGCGGACACCGTGGTAATGGCTTCAACCTTCCAGGGTCCCCACTGCAGTGCCAGTGTCCCCCACACAGTATCTGC